AATATCAACTTGCGAATTTCCCTTTTTTCCAAAAAATGCTTTTTCTTGTTCGGGGGATAAAATTCGAGTATGTGGATTGTAACCACTTTAGGAGTTTCACCAGCTTGTATTTTTTTTAAATAACGGAAAAGTGTTACATGAGAGAGGTCCAAACTTCTAGCAACTTGTCGAAATCCAAGATTTTCGTTCACAACCAAACCCGCAGCTCTTTTTATATGTTGTTTTGTAGGTCCCTTATCACTAATAGTTATTTTTACTTAGGCATGTTAATTAAAAAAATGAGTACATCTAACGAAACAATGGGTAGGTATCATTGTAACATGTTACAAAAGTACCCTTTGCCATTGTTACAATTGTACCGAAGTAACAACCCTGCACTTTTATTGAAATTAAAAAACTAGAGCAAAATTTACTTTAAACTGAACATATCATGTTAAATATACATGCATAGGCTACAAAAGTATATATCTACATTGACTGTAAACTATCAGATGTGATAGTTATTTAAGAACTGATAAAATGGCTTAAGTTTTGCTTTTGTGTCGATAAATAGATATAGCTCTATTGTTATGTCACTGCACCATTGCAAAAGTCTCAACTGTCGTCAGATTGTACTGAGTCTTGAACTTGAATAACTGACAAGGTGCCATAATAATGTATTTGAATTTAAAAAAGTTATGGTACCTGTTACATTTGTACCGCGGTACAATTGTACCCGCTCTCCCTACTAAAGATTCTTTCGGTTGCGCCTGTTTACGATGGTAAATTTAAATGTAAGCGAACATACTTATTTTTAAAGCTGAAGCAAATTTCACTGGAAAGGACAATTTTTTTAGCAAAAATATTACCTCTAATTTCTATTGTGCCAGTTAGTACTTCCATAATGAGATTTACTTGTAAAAAACAGTTTGGATAATACCTTGGAGTTTAATAGATGAACTCCGTTGCAATTAAATTTTCAGCTTCAGTAAAATTTTCGCCGTATAGATTTGGTTATAGTAGGTAGTCAGAAAGATGAGCAGGTCTTAAACATTTACTTGCCCGTTTTTCCAGAATTGCACACGTTTTCTTGGTTTCCGACAGCAACTGATGAAGTTGATATTTTGCTGCATAATATAGACGACCTTATTTCAAAAAAGTAGGTAAAAACTTTTGGGATTGTTGGTCCGTTAGTTTCAAAAATCCACTTATAGATTGGCTTAAACAAAACAAGTCATAAGCTGCTGGTATTTGTAGCCAAAATTTGTTTCGAGGGCTTACTGTGTTTGGTGAAAGAACATCAGAATTATCTGGGCTATCATCAACTGCTAAGCTTTCTCATGAGTGTTTAGTGTCCAAAAAGCTTTTTAGACAAGAAACAAAGCAGCCCCATCTTGTGTTCATCAAAAAAAAAGGAGCAGAGTAGAGCGAGGAAAAAAGCAATATTTCCAATGTTCCCGATCTTGCGGTAATATTACGTAATATTACCCTTTACATCACTAATTATTATACCAATTGGGTACCCACCGCCCATCACTGTTGGTAACCAATATATTCTTATAATAATAATAATAATACTTTATTTTGCATGAATATCATTTACAACAAATGTAATTTACAAATAAATAATAATAATAAAAAAAACATGCAAAAAAGGAACTGAAGACAATTAAAATTGGTTTAAATTCAGTTCCTGTCAGATTACGATATCAGCTAGTATAAATGTGTGTTATGTAGCTAAATTATTTTACTGTAACTTATCTACAAATATAACTAAATTATATAGTAATCCTATGACTAAGAAAATTTAGTATGAAATTCAAAGAAATAAAGTATCAAAGAAAGTATTTTATACTAAAATAATTCTGAGGTAAAAAAACTAAGAGGGAAGAGAACTATCCAGAAAATGTTTTTTAAGTTTATTTTTAAATGCATCACTCTGAAGGTTTATCATTTCTGCTGGTAAACAATTGTAGAGCTTCCAAATATTAAATGAGAAACATCTAGTGAACAATGCTGTTTTGTGAGGTGGTGGTGTAATAAGTCCCTTAAATCTAAGGTTTAAGTTGTGCACATCTGTTCTGAATTTTATTTTATTCACCAAGTATGGAGGACACTTCTTAGAAATAACTCAATTTTTAAAACTCGTTAAAATTAAACCAAATGAATGCATCTTACGTCTGTTTTCCATATTCACTATGGAGCCGCGCTCATATGTAATCAAATAGTCGGCTGATCGGCTCTATAAGAATGTGTTGTTTTCAGTTTAGCAACTAAATAGTCGGCTGACTAAAGATCGCCTGTCAGCGAATAGCCTTTTTCCCCAGAATTTTTTTTAATTAAAAATTAGCAGGGATGTAAAAGATAGAATAGTAGAATATTGCAAGTGAAGTAGTTGTTTGGTTTAGTTTCGTTTGTTTTGTTGAACACCCTCTATTAAATATACACAAGTATTGATTTTATCTAAAAATGCTGATCTATAGGTAATTCACAATACCCACCTACGAAATTTCATCATTTTGCTGTACACACTAAAATTAGTACAGGATTGCCACCTTTTGTATTTAAAACATCGGGACGTCACTAGTACAACCTTTTTTCTTAAATGTAAAATTTTATTTGTCTATTGGATTTTGAAACAATATTTTATACCTTTTTGAATTAACTTAAAAAACTATTCGAAATTTATGTAAATATTTAATAATTATGTAAAAATAAAAACTGAAAAGTTGAAAACAAAATTAGTGAACAATCAATTAAATCTAAAACAACTAGAACAAAACCCAAACAAAATCAAAAGTTTCAGCTGTATAATCTGTATAATTGGCTTTATTAGTTTATCTAATTATTTTTAAATGAACATTTTTTGGTAAAATAAAACACTTATTAAACACAATACATCAAAACACTTTAAAATATTACATACTTAGTATACACAAGCATAAAAAGGCCTTAACCCCTACAAGTGCGCTAATTCCCATTAAACTCTTTACTTTTAACACTGGACGCGCGTTTCGTTAACCAGCTTAGCATAAGCAGCAGATGATGAAAACTGATGGTCAGCTTCAAATTTATGGTTAGCGAAACGAGCGTCCAGTGTTAAAAGCAAAGTGTTTTGGTGTATTGCGGTGAATTTGTGTTTTATTTTGCTGCTGTAACTCCAAAGGTTCGAACCCCCAACTGTAAAGAATATTTTTTATTTGTTTTGTTGCTGTAATAATAAGAGCCTTGTCATTTTTAATAAAATCCAAAAATTCTTATATGCGATATATTAAATGAGATTTGAAGTTCCGTTCTAATGAGCTTAACTGAACATCTATTTTTAGCCTCTGTCTTCTTCAACATCATACGTGAAAATATATAAATAGCAACCTTAAACAAAGAAGGCATATAATTTATTCTAGTTTTAAAAATTCTTTATTTTTTTATTTAATTCTTTATATCCTTTTGGACAAATTTCCTTTACGCAAGTTTTTATTATCGAATATTCATTTAACAGAGTATCAATATCTATTTCTTTTAATTATAAAATTTCTAAGATTTTAATTAATTCCTGGAAAAGAACTGTTTTTAAAACCAAAAAATTAATAAACATGTAATTTTAATAATAAATTTTACCATTTTATTATTTGAATAATAAAAACGTTGCTATAAAACAAATAAAAGTCGGGACATTAAGGCTTTGCGTGGGAACGCGGGACTTTTGGATCAAAATTGGGACTGTCCCGACAATATCGGGACGGGTGGCAACCCTGAATTAGTTTGTACAGTTTTTGAAAAAAAAATCGATATTGTTAATTTAATTTATTTTTTTTAATTTTTAATTTTAAATGAACCTCTTCCCTTATTTTAAAATTAGTAAAGTGTTCATTTAGTTTCGTACTTATTCATTTATCCCTTCTGTATACAGACTATTATATTAAATTAATTCTCTTAAGCGTGGTCCAGACACAACGACTTATCGTATACGATTTGCTTGCGTCGACAAAACGTTGCGTGTGGCAGTAAGTGTGAATCAATTTTAGAACTGCACAAACACGGAAGACTGAGTTAAAAGTTTGTAACGAAGTTCTGGACTATCTTGAACGTTGTCTGTAGTTAAGACGTTTAACTTGTTTCTTTTTTTTAACTTTATTTAAATAAATAGCCAAAACTAACCACAACAGTGTTTCTTGATATGACAGAATACATAGACTGGAGGACAAGACGTTTTAAAATGGACACAACTTTGTCTGTGCCTTTTATCTGCAAAGTTTTGTCGACGCAAGCACATCGTACGACAAGTCGTTCCGTGTGGACCGCGCTTTAGTTTATATATATGCAGAATGTGATTCTATCTCTATCCCGGTATGCGTTTTTTAGAATCTGCTCTTTTTTCTTGCGAATATTATTTTTGTTGAACATCGCTATGAAGCACAATATTTTTATTTGAATAATTTTATTTAGATTTGTTTGTAATGTACTATTTCATTTTAAATAAATATTTCATTATATTGTCAGGTGGCATAGATTATTTGATTTCAATAAGATATTTCAAAATCTATTTTATAAAGTCTTTTAATGGCTACATGGCCTACCAAATATTGTGCAAATATCGCCTTAATCAGGATATATAAGACAAGGTAAGTTTATTGTTTTAATTAAAAAAAATAATTATATTATTTAAAAACAATTGCATACACTGGATCTTTTTCACGTTATAGGTATATTAATATTATATGTAATGCATATGTCGGGATATTTATAATTTAATGATTAAATGTAAGACGTGGCAACATCTTTTATATTATCAGTATTTACTAAATAAAGTTTTTTGTCTGTATTTTCGAAAGAAAGGTGACGCAATCGAAATGTCGATTGCAAATGTGGTCCCGAGTCGGCTTCTAGTAGTCTTTATGCTCTAAGGTGCGGAGCGTAGAGAGAGGGAAAACCCAGTCACGGGTGATGAACAGACAACAGACGGCGTGGTGTGCCGGTCGGTGCGCGGTGTCTTGCACGTGGTGTCTTGCACGTGGTGTCTTGCACGTGGTGTCAGGAAGACAAAAGAAAGAGCCGACTTGGGAATGGATGGTCGCCATCTTCTTGTCGGTTCGAAGGGATTTAGTTAAAAATCCGGATAATTATTAATTTTAAAACCCTTTCGCGACATCAGAAGTGTGGATAGAACTTACCAAACCACAATAAGCTTTTGAGTGGCATGGTGAAACCTGTAGGATGCATTTGAATAAGATAAGTAGGTACACAGTTTCTAATTAGGTTTACAAATCGAAAGTATTGGTTTTCTTTTTGTGGCTTTGGTCAGCTAGAGTCAGGAGCAAATGCTGCATTTAGACGGAGCATTGCTGCATTTAGATTGAGCATTGCTGCATTTAGATTGAGCATTTAGATTGAGCATTGCGGCATTTATATTAAGCAATTTAGTAGTTTTAGAGTCCAAACAGATAGCCTGTATAATGTTACGGAGGGAAATATTACAATGATTATTATTAAAACAAGTATTTACGGCATTATTTCATACCGATTTAAGTTTAATTAAGTTTTTATAGTCTGAAATTGTCTGAATAAGTTTTAATAATCTGTTTATTCCTGGTAAATACATGGTACTATGGTACAGAATGGTGGTTTAGAATATTAGCCACACCGTTTAAATTTTAATTCTGAATAAGTTTTCTGATTGCATAACAAATAGCAATACAGCAAAGTTTTTGTCGAAGAAAATATTGATCGGTATGATTTGTTTATTTATTTAGGCGAGGTGATAAAAACTCTCGCTTGCGATGGCTACCGTTGTTTTTCTACTTGTTTTTTGGCAGGTAAAATAGTTTGTTTATTGTTTATAATTTGAATAGATCTTTTAACGATATGTTTTGTTTATTATAGTCGAGAGCTAGTGTTTGATTTCGTCTTGGAAAATAGATAATTTTAAAAGTATTTTCATAACATGTTTAATGAGGGTCACAGCCTGTTTATGAGCAACCTGTCGAGTTGCGATGGTTTGTACAGGACTTGTTGTGGTCCTGTTCTGTAGGGCCAACTTATTGATGGTCTTTTCGGGTGTGGAATTAAAGTACACTGTTGTTTTTAATAACTTAAGTAACTTTAATTATGATGAAATAATTACAATGGTGACCCTAAGGGAAACTGTCTAAAATAAGTACGCGTCGAAGAGTAAAAAGATAAAGAGGCAAACAGAGTTGAAGAGCATAAAGTATAAAGTAACTAAAAGTGTAAAGTGACAGAGAAGCTGTCTTTCGTTTCTTTAAATAATATCTAACCTACAAAATGCCAGAGGCGTACAGTATATATTTTATATTTTTAAACCTAATATCACAGAATATCTAGCTACGCAACAGAAGCCTCGTTACATGTATAAAATTGTAGGTAGCAAAAGGAGACAGGCTTTAAAAGTCTGTCTCCAAATCAGATATTTTGATGTGGTAGTTTCGCTACTACATAATAGAGGGCAATAAATTTAAAAGAAAACAGTTTTCTACAAACAAAATTTAAAGAATTTTGTGCAGTGTTGCCATTGTGTAATTCATATCGTAATACTTCCTGATAAAGCCTACCTTCAAATTTGCTACATCATTTAAACATATTAAAATAGATCAGAGCTGTTTTTTCAGTTTGCTATGTTAGTTGAATTTTATGAGCTAAATTATAATCACTTCCTGGCGTTTGATTGTATAATGAATCCTGAATTTTCATTGTAATTCGGCGACAATATAATAAGTATTGTTCTACTATTATTATAGTTCTACCACTTCCTGACGTTCGATTGTATTCATACCAAGTTCATATCGTAAAATCGGGAAAAAACGGCGTTCGCGATAGCTATGAAATGAATATCGCTGTCATTTTATATGTAAATTTATATGGGAAATGTCATCGATCGTCCTTTTCCAGCCAACTGGACGCCGTTTTTTTCAGAAGCATATCCAAGTGATACCATAATATAGTACTATATTACGATACATGGCGTTCGATTGGGCTTAAACTTGGTATACTATATCTTCAGTGACACTGTAATATTATGGTACCATGAAGCATATAAAGTGGTACCTTCTATAGTACCATATTTGATGACATAGCAATATTAGGTATATGGCGGCAATAGGGCTTAAACTTGGTATACTACGTATTTTCGGTGATATTGTAATATTATGGTACCATGGAGCATAATAAGAGGTACCATAATATAGTACCATATTATGATACCATTTCCTGGCGTTCGATGGGGCTTAAACTTTTTATACTACGTATCTTCGGTTACATTGTAATATGATGGTACTATAATGCATATAAAGTGGTACCTTAATAGAGTACCATATTTCAATACCATTTCCTGGCGTTCGATTGAGCTCATATTTGATATATACTTGCGTATTTTTTATGACATTGCATTATTATGGTACCATGAAGCATATCAACTGGTACCATAATATAGTACTATATTACGTACATGGCGTTCGATTGGGCTTAAACTTGGGATACTACGTATTTTCGGTGACATTGTAATATGATGGTACTATGATGTATATAAAGTGGTGCCTTAATATAGTACCATATTACGATACCATTTCATGGCGTTCGATTGTTCTTAAATTTTTTATACTACGGATCTTCGGTGACATTGCAATATTATGGTACCTTAATGTATATAAAGTGGTACCTTAATATAGTACTATATTACGTACATGGCGTTCGATTGGGCTTAAACTTCATATTATTATATTATACTACGTATTTTCGGTGACATTGTAATATGATGGTACTATGATGCATATAAAGCGGTACCTTAATATAGCACCATATTACGATACCATTTCCTGGCGTTCGATTGGGCTTAAACTTGGTATACTACGTATCTTCGGTTACATTGTAATATGATTGTACTATGATATATATAAAGTGGTACCTTAATATAGTACCATATTACGATACCATTTCATGGCGTTCGATTGTTCTTAAATTTGGTATATTACGGATCTTCTGTGACATTGCAATATTATGGTACCTTAAAGCATATCAAGTGGTACCATAATATAGTACACTATTATGATATAATTTCCTGGAGTTCGATTGGGCCCAAATTTGGTATACTTGCGTTTCTTTATAAAGATTTCTTTAATTAATAATTTTAATTTATTTTACGAATTTTAATTTATTGTTCGATGTCGTGACAGCAACTTTTTGCCGAACTAATATATTATTAATTGTACCTGTGTCACTTTTTAAAATCTACCTAGGTCTATATAAATAACGTGGCAAACGGAATAAATTTGTTATTATAGTATTTTTTAGTCAGTTAACATTTTTTCTACTGCATTTTAATAAATTATTTCCATTATTATTAAACTTATATTTCATTACTAACGTTCCAGCATTAATAAATATCACTATCAATCGCCCTGTATATTATTAATTTTAAAGGTAATTAAAGGTATTTTCTTAGTTAACATTATAAGGGAGTGTATATTAAAAATGTATATGTTTTGTAATAATATACTTAAAACTATTTTAATAGCCGAAGGAATAATTAATATAAGTGTATCTGACAAGAAAAGAAGAAGAATAGAAAGAAACACATACTGCACTATACACAGTAAAAAGAATGGGATGCCAATTCAAGTCTTTTTGAATCTGGCAACTGTGCATATTTAGCCGAGCTATAAGGCCGTCGACGAGCCGTCGATCCAAAACCGAAAGTTCAAAATTTCTAATTATATTCTGATTATGATATTGTCGCGCCATCTAGTATTCTATTTGTGCAATTTTAGCTCTTTCATTTCGAGTATTTTTCTGTTGCGTAGCTAGATATTCTGTGCTAATATTCAGAGCAGTATTCTGTGACTGTCCTAGACTTGATTAGATTGTTTAGATAGACAGACGTGTGTCTGCGATAGCTATATAGTTTTGTGATCGAAATTCTTAAGTTATAATTTATAATTTTGTGCAAATATTTAGGGGTCGTTTATAAGCTTAAGGGTGTGATGCCTTTAAGGGGTTTTATTGGAGGACATTCATAAACTAATATTACAAATTTAAGTGAAATGACGATTATAACAGACTTTGTGTCCCTGTCTCTATGTTTTCTTTTCTTATGTGGTTTAACAGGTTGGGTTCTGGGCTCCGTTGAGGCTCTGTTTACCATCAAATTTTCTGCTCTGGCTGCTGACTTTTGTGCGGGGGTGAGCGATGCTATAGAGGCGCGGATGCTCGGGAACGTGTTGAAATGTCTGACTTCCCAGTCAGTTGTGATAAATATGAGTTGTCCATGAGTTTTTATAAATATGGTAGTGATTTTTGAGGCAGTATTTTTATTAATAATATTATTTTTAAATTGTTTATTGTTAGTTGATGGGTTTAATGATCATTAATAGTAATAAAAATGATTGATTCGATATTTGAGATATAAACAAGGGTTCTGACGAAGGCGAACTGTTCTATTGATATTGTTGACGATATGGCGTTGATTATTCTGAGATTGTTATAAGTTAAAGAAGTCTAAGAGATTTTCAAGCAATAACAAGGGCAATGATTTAGGGAATTTGCAGTATCTTAAAATTATTTTGAAAGTCATTTGTGAATGGTGTTAAGGTTTGGAGAATTTCTTAAACTATGAATGTTTGAATTCTGTAAACTTTGATTATTATTTACAGATGTTAACTGAAGTAAAAATAAATAATCGTCCATTAAAGATTATGTTTCATGTTGTTCCGTACGATTATTTAAAGCACGATGTAGGTAATGTTTGGTCGTGTAATTGTCAGTCAGGGTTTTGGTATAAACATTACATTAAAAATTTTGAATATTTTTAAAATCGAGATTATCAATATTTTTGAGTAGGTCAAACAGAAATATTTTTTCAAAATTAAATAATATTAGTAGTGAAATTGTTAGTCATAATAAAACACTGAACAAAGTTTATGATTATTATTGGTACTACTTGTACAATAATGGTACTACTTGTAAACTATGTAAATATCAGTCTAGCACTATAATCATATTGTTGTTTATGTCACGCATAATTTGTAGGTAACTAAAGAAGATGATTTGCAAATTAAGATTTTCGTGAGTTTTGTGTAAGAAGATATAAATTCGCACCTAATAGCCACAGGGTTATGTTGAGTTAAATATGTCTTGAATACTCTCAAAGAATATAATAGTTTTAAGAACTCTCGTGTGGAAGCTTTAGTGCTTTGTCACACGGTGGCGCTTTTAAACATAATC